TAGATCGACCGATAAATTGAGAGCTTCGCCTTTAGGCTCAGCTCTCTTTTCATCACGACAGACCGGTACAGCGCCCGCATTACTGCAGACGCCGCACCGATCCGCCTATCGATCTCACGCTCCCTACCCCCATTCGCAAACAAGACCCCGAGATACTTGAACTCCTCCACTTGGGGAAGGACGCCCGCTCCGACCCGGAGAAGGCACTCTACCCTTTTCCGGTGAGAGACCATGGTCTCGGACTTGGAGGCACTGATCCTCATCCCAGCCAAACCGCTCCAGTGAGAGCTGTAGGTCCCGACTTGATGGAGCCAACAGGACCACATCATCTGCAAAAAGCAGAGATGCGACCCTAAGGCCACCAAGGCTGACACCCTCAACACCTCGGCTACGCCTAGAAATCCTGTCCATAAAAGTTATGAACAGGACCGGAGACATAGGGCAACCTTGGCGGAGTCCAACTCCCACCGGAAACGAGTCCGACTTACTACCGGCAATGCGAACCAGACTCTGACTCCGGTCGTACAGGGACCGAACAGCCCGTAACAAGGGGCCAGGTACCCCATACTCCCGGAGCACCCCCCACAGGATACCCCGAGGGACACGGTCGAACGCCTTCTCCAAGTCCACAAAACACATGTGGACTGGTTGAGCGAACTCCCATGCACCCTCTAGGACCCCGCTGAGGGTATAGAGCTGGTCCAGCGTTCCACGGCCAGGACGAAAACCACCCTGCTCCTCCTCGATCCGAGGCTCAACTATCCGACGGACCCTCCTCTCCAGAACCGCTGAATAGACCTTCCCAGGGAGGCTTAAGAGTGTGATCCCCCTATAGTTGGAACACACCCTTCGGTCCCCCTTTTTAAATAGGGGGACCACCACCCCAGTCTGCCAATCCAGCGGGACTGCCCCTGATGTCCACGCGATGCTGCAGAGTCGCGTTAGCCAACGCAGCCCCACAACATCCAAAGCCTTAAGGAACTCCGGCCGGATCTCATCCACCCCCGGGGCCCTGCCACCGCGGAGCTTTTTGACTGCCTCGGTGACTTCAGCCCCGGAGATTAGAGATCCAAACTCCGGATCCCCAGGCTCTGCCCCTCCAACGGAGGACGCGCCAGTGGGATTGAGGAGGTCCTCGAAGTACTCCGCCCACCGACCCACAACGTCACGAGTTGAAGACCCCTTATGATGAAAAAGGAAAATGGATCCAGAGTACCCTCGCCCGGGCGCGGGCTACCGGGGCCCCCCCCTGGAGCCAGGCCCAGGGGCGGGGCGCCATGGCGAGCGCCTGGTGGCCGGGCCTTCACCCATGGGGCCCGGCCGGGCCCAGCCCGAAGAGGAGACATGGGTCCCCCTTCGCACGGGCCCACCACCCGTGGGAGGGGCCATAGGGGTCGGGTGCGCTGTGCCCTGGGCGGCGGCCGGAGTCGGGGATCTTGGCGGACTGATCCCCGGCTGCAGAAGCTGGCTCTAGGGACGTGGAACGTCACCTCTCTGGCGGGGAAGGAGCCTGAGTTAGTGTGCGAGGCGGAGAGATTCCGGCTGGACATCGTCGGTCTCGCCTCGACACACAGCTCTGGCTCTGGAACCAGCCTTCTTGAGAGGGGTTGGACG